ACTGTCGCTGCATGCTTGCTTAGTATGAGGATTGCTGTAAAGACACTGACACTAGTCAGTGACTCGGAGCAATCTGCTGGGTTCCTTAAAGGAAACTTTTACTGATTGGCAGGGGCGGCGTTAGGCCCGGCTACTTGGGCTGAAGCCCCGGATCTTTCATGATAAGCCCCGGATCTAAATCGCGGAAGTAACATGCAGTACCAAAGTCACACAGAGAGGGCGCAGCTGGCAGTAGTTTGTAAAGTCCCATTTAGTCGTCACACACACAGGTGTGTGGTGAAATTTATTCTCCGATTTTGACCCATCCCCTGAGTTGCAGACACGCCGCGCTCGGGAACTATTTGGTGGTTTAATCCCCCAATCCAACCCTGAGTGTCAAGCAGGGAGGCATTGGGTCCCATTTTTCTCAAAATCTTTGGTATGACCCGACCAGGAGTCAAACCCCTGATCTCCCGATCTCAGGGCAGACACTCTACCACTAGGCTACTTAGTCAGTATACAGTTTACCTGAGACTGAAGAGAAGCCCTTCAGCAGCTGGCTTCTGCAGTCTCCGTCTGAAACGCATGAGTGAAGATGGATATAAGGACGTTTTTTTAGACCAAAAGTACAACGACAGAACCCCAGCTCTGATGAGACTGGTGTTGACTCAGGTTTGTGAGTCTTATTTGAAAATATTTGTTGTGCTGCTGGTTTGCCTAAAGTTAGCTTACTATCAGGTAAAGTTGTTGGAGAAAGAAAGGGAATATTCACTATCATCTCACACTAAACACTAACAGGAACAATACTCTGCCCTGAATATGCTGAATATGTAGCTTCAGATTAAACATTATGTGGTACAAGACAAATATATATGATGTTGACTAGTGAGTGTCACGTGTGTGCGCGCATGCGTGTGTGTGCGCGTGCGCGCGCGTGTGTGTGCGCGCGCGTGTGTGTTAAGCCCCGGATCTTCTTCAGTCCTAAATCCGCCCCTGCTGATTGGCCTAATGAACTGAACTGTACTTGAATGTTTACTTAGTGAAGTGCCTTGAGATGACTCTTTTTGTGATTTGGTGCTATATAAATAAATTGAATTGAATAAATATATTAATCATGTTGGACAGAAGACTACAAGATGTCATTATTATGGGCTCGCCACACGGGAGGCGGCATTGCCTCTCGTCCATTCATTTTCAATGAGATGTGTGCGACAAATCACGGGTCTCCCTTCAGCTAAGTAACAAGCAACATCTGTGCATGTTAAATTTTGTGCTCGTGCAAGTGTCGTGCACAGGCGAACCAGCGATGCAATCCCAGAAAGAACAAGGACCAATCAGCAGAGGTTTCATTGACTGACCATTCAGCAGACAGGGTGCTTCATAGTACATCTCTGGGCAAATATAGAGGAAAAGTTATTACTAACTGTGTCAGATTTCCCAGAGCTTTACAACATTTCTACAAAAGAATATAGGGTGTTTCTCAATGTCAAGGCGCCTGGCCTTGTGAGGCGATGTCTTACGAGGCCAGGCGCCTTGCTTACAAGGACACTGTCCTTCCTTGGTCAAAGAAAACAGTTTAATGGAACAGACTTAAAATAAAGATATTTTGTGCGTATAAGTTTGAATATTAATATATAAAGAGAGTTTTACTTTTTAAATTCTGTATATTTTTGTTAAATTAAATATATAAGTGAGTTACTACCCGTTAGCCACCAAAGCTTCAACTACTAAGCAACTAACTAACCATAGATAGCTTCTTTGGATAAAAAAAAAAATTTAAATTGAGTTACTTTTAAACTTGAAATTTGCCTCCGAAGTAGCTGCCGGCTTCTGATCCACCTTTTGAAAGTACCGCGGTGTATTCTGGGAAATTTTTTTTACCAAGGCTAGGCTACAAGACACCTCCCGTGTATCCTTGCTCAGCTAGCTAAACGGCTAACAAACGGAGAACACACGCCTCGGTGGAACATGAACACTGGGACACGTCTTGGCAGTTCCTGATGACGTATCTCCAAGGCAACCGGGGAGGGGCCAAGACATCAAGGCAAGGTTCCTTGGCATTGAGAAACACCCTTAGAGATCTTCACAAAAAGGCAGTGGTATGAGAAATAGTTGGTAACTTGGTTGTTGGTGTGGTCTCATTTTCACCATTTCTTTTTCTCTTTGGGATGAACCCATTCACATATTTTTTCTTTTATTTAGTATATAGTAAAGTCAGAAGTCATATCTACTGCTTTTTCAACTTCGAACTGCTTTATTAACCCAACATTTCCTTCAGTTAGACGGCCAATCATAACAACGGAATCCTCGCTATTCACCCTAGAACAGAGTGCGTCGCTGGCTTTGGCCGCTGCCACATGTCGTCTCCCATGTTTCGAGACCATTACTTCGTTCTTACATACTGCACCTTTAAGGCATGGTTAAATACAAGGAAATGAATGAAATTTGTGCACAGAAATTCAGAATGACAAAACGAATCTCTGCCTGGTGGCTGGGATGACTTATCGGACCTGTAACTTTCTTACATCTTCAGCAAAAACAAACACGGTTGGTTTAAAGTTGTGCAGCCAGTTTCTCACAACATTCACAACCTGTACCTGTCCTTTTATGGTAAATAAAAACTATTGATCCTCCATCCCCAACCCCCATTTTAAAAGAATTATTGTGGAGCTCCATTTCATCTAATCACTTGGCAAAAGAGTCCAGCGTCTAAATAAATAAAGAATAAATAAAAAGAAATCCCTGGGCCAACGTGTTGCTCTCACCTTTGCAGATGAAATTACCCGAAAAGCTGTTACAAATCAATATAATCAATGCAATCAGCTAACTGACACAGGCAATCTCCTGCCAGTAAGTAAAAATACCCCTGGTGGAGATCATTCAATTTCTCGTGCCATAATTGCCCCCGAGGGCGACGTTAGGCTGTAGCATTTTGTACACTTAATTAAATTAGCGAGCTCTGTGGACGGGGTGGGTGGCCAGTTTACAGAGGACGGATAGGTCTGGCCTGGTGCCAGTAATTAAGGCAATACCTTTCTTGATTACACCAATCCCCCTTAATGAACTCATTATGCATTTTAACCCAAACACTTCCATGAATTAATGAGTGCAGAGAAAGCTCCTAGATGGAGAAAACGCCCTGATCACAAGCACCAGTCATAAGTCATCCACTCAACGAGATGGACGTGGTGTCCATATTTCTCCCACCTTCAGCTGCAGCCAAGACTATTTTGGACCCGAGTGACAGCAAAAAGTTCAGAGTCTGAACACATAAAGCTGTAAAGGAATAAGCGCTCTCTGGCGAGTAACAACACAAAGTTACGAGATGACTTTACAAGGTTTCACCGGACTCACATCTGAGTGTTCAGAGGACTTTTGTACAGATGAGACATAAACAACCTCATGGGATCCAAAAATGGAGACCTAGGAGCTGTGCAGGCTGGGAGCAGCTACGCATGACCCACAATGCACTGCTAATTAAATAATTCACTAATTGACATATCAATACAGCTTTCAGAGGGCTTATTGGATAAGAACTGAAGACTTCTGCAGGTTTACAAATAGATAAAAAACAGAACATTTTGCATGCATGAGGTGCAAATCATTGTTTTTCTTTGAATGAGAGGAAAAAATGACATTGGACTGACCTTGTGTATCAGTTGTATAACATCATTCTGCCCATCATTGTGAAAATAAAGCTGAATGGGAAAGTTTGTGTTCTGATGTCGGGCCTGAAGTCTGGGAGCTAGACACATTGGTGTGTTTGCGCCTGGAAAGGTGGGAAATACTGTTGAATGTAATTGCAGTGAAGCGTAACATTTTGTTGATCTGAAAGGTTGTGGGGGTTGTAAATCCAGACACCTGAGCAGCTTGTTACCAATGTGTGTTTCCAAACACACACACACACACACACACACACACACACACACACACGCACACACACACGCACACGCACACGCACACACACACACACACACTCAGAAAATACACTACTGTCAGCAAAGGGCGGTGATGGAAGAACTGATTGTGTTGCTGGAACATCTTTCCACAGTGGAACTGCTTAGTAACATCCTGAGAGAAACTACTGCCAAAGAAATGGAATTTAATTGATCCCATTTGCGTACTTTGAAAACTTAATTTACACTTAACAGTATTTGGGCTTTGCTAAAGTCTTCTTGACAACATCTCAGAGAAATACCAGATCCTTGGATTCATTATTGCTTTAATTAAAGGAGCTAATTAAAGCAGTTTCGGCTTGCTTTTAGCACCCCATAGTGTCCATTAGTAAAACCAAATAAGAAACTCTTCTCCACATGCTGAGAGCCAGCTTTGTAGCTGAGCATCAGACTGCCAAGACCCCTCCTTCGGCTACAGCCTATCTCACACTGCACCCAACTTCTTTGGCCCCTCCCATGAGAGCCCCACCACGCGCCACAACTCCAGAGGGGTGACACATTTCCGGGCAAGGGAAAACTGTTTCTATATATGTTACTAGTCATAAGGGGTCTGTGGGCTTAGTTTGTCTGATCCCTCTCCTAAGACCTGTTTGCCATGGGTGACCCTACCTGAGGCATAAAGCTTCATACACCTTAGCTCCTGGGATCAATGGGACACTAAAATCCTCCACCATGGTAAGGTGGCAGCCCAGGTAAGAGCCAGTTGAGGTGGCTAGGGCATCTAATTAGAATGCATCCTGGACACCTCCCTGGTGAGGTTTCCCCGGCAAATCCAACCAGGAGGAGACCTAAAGGGAGACCCAGAAAACACTGGTAGGACTATGTCTCTCTGCTGGCCAGGGAACACCTTGGGATTTCTCCGGAGGAGCTGGCCCAAGTGGCTGGGGAGAGGGAAGTGTGGGCCTCCCTACTTAGGCTGCTGCCTCCATGACCCGAACCCGGGTAAGCGGCTGAAAATGGATGGATGTATGAATAACACAGCTAAAACTACAGCTGATAAAGAGTTGTAGCTGGTTTTGAATAAAGATGTCATTAATTTATAAAGACAAACTTTGAATGAGAATCTTTAAATATTTGAAGCGATTTTATTTCACAATTATTAAAAAGTATACAGTACAAGACTGCTACATTTTTCTTTATACACCAATTACTGTGCATCAAACAGATAAAGGTTTAAACATAATAGTCAGTCTTCATCAGCAAACTCATATCAATATCAGTAACTTTACAATAGTTCTTCTCACCAGCCGCAGTAAACCAGTTTTACTTTAGCATTTACAAAAGCACAAGACTTTATATCCACTGGTCCTCTCCAAACGTTGCATCTAAAAATATTTAAACTCTTTAGTCTGCTTTTCAACGATCCAGGCTGAGTTCAGCCACCACATGGTCCAACTGCACCGCATCACAGAAGCTTTAAACTTAAATGCCCAAAACATTAGTCTTAAAAGTACCACTAACGTCTGCTAAGAGACCGTTTGAGATGTAACTGTGCCCTGAGAAAACAAAAGTGTGAAATACTCACACAACATAAAACCATTAAATTTGAATAGTTGGAATGGGTTATACAGTAACACTGAACTGCTCAAAAACACAATAAAAACAGAAGTAAAAATGTTACCCTTTCATTAAAATACCATCTAACATTCTTTAGCTGTGCAATAATTACATTAGTCTTTATTTTTTTGTTGTGGAGGAAAATACTTTGTGTTCAACAAAATCTTACTGTGACTCCAGTCTGAGCAGAAACACTGGGACAAGCTGGAAGATGCACAAAAATGAGGAATCGAGGTGAAAAAAGGAGTACAAGTATTAGGGTTGGGTATCGTTTGATTTTGAACGATTCCGATTCCTCGTTTCGATTCCGGTTCCTATCGATTCCCGATTCCGATTCTTTCAAGACGTTACATGTTTAACATGAGCCAGCTAACCACAGGTCCTACTTGATGAAATAATCTCAACTTCAACATGAATTTTAATTCTATGAACGATAACATCACCTTCATTTAGACAAAAACATGTTTTGGAGAAAAAAAAGAAAAAGACTTTCAGCACAACCAGTGTGTTTGATTCTGACCACAACCAAAGTGTGGAAGAAGCCTCTGGGATGAGAGGCCAAATGTCTCCAACATATCCAGAAACGTCCAGCTGTTTTCAGCTAAAACTCTCAGGATGATCATGTCCAGGATGCCTGAGAACTACACCTCCATGCTGCAGCAGCATTCAGTAAGAACAGGAAGTGAAACTTAAATGTAGCTGCTGTCAGTAACAATCTAACAGGTTTAAACATTAAAACTCAACAGAAATTGTTCAAAAAACTCAATTGAAATGTTCACAACTTTGTGTGTGATTTATTATTATTATTATTTATTGTGGCAGAAGCTGGTGTGGTCCACCACACAGAAGCTTCTCTAGCATGATGACTTTAATTATTCTACATGTTATTGTTCAGCCTTCTGATGCTCATGCACACACACACACACACACACACACACACACACACACACACACACACACACACACACACACACACACACACACACACACACACACACACACACACACACAAGTGTTGGTGAGTAGCTGTGTCTGACTGCTGACGCTCCGTGTGTGTTTGTATTTCTGCAGTGAGACAAACTCACCTCACACCGTCCAGAGTTTGTTCTTTAAAGCTTCTATTAAATCCACCGTGTTGACGTATTTTAACAAGTTTCCTCTACGCTGCAGGAGTTAAAGTTTACATCACGGAGTAAAACTTTGGCAGACGTGTTTGTTTAGATTTGGCCGCTGCGCGCCGGGTGGGGGTGGGGGGGGGGACGCGGTGCTGCACACAGACAGCTGGCGTGATCAGCTGAAAAGCGTTGATCACAATTTGCAGATCACGTTTATTTTTCAGGGAGATCGGCCACGGATTCCTCTTCCGTCGGCATTCTAGGAATCGAACAAAAAAACTTTGAACGATTCCGGGAAAAACTAACAGTTTGAACCGGTTCCAATTGATGCTCGATGCCCAACCCTAACAAGCATAAAAGAAACTAACCTGTACTCCTTTTTTAGGGAGCGCAAGGTAATATGTACTAAAATGTAGCATTTATTAATGAGAACATTAGCTAAAGCGTTAAAATCTTCCCTTCATCCCTGTAAAAACAAAGTAGAATATTCTAAAGCTCGTCCTTGAACAGGTTCCATCTTTCTGGTTTGTTTTTTTGTACAGGCAAAGCCAGAAAGACATAACATGGCAAGTGACTTGATCAATAATATTTTAATCAGGTTTAATAATAAAATGCATTGCTTGCCGTTTGAAAAGCCAGTGAGTATGTTCTCTTCCAGTTAAACAAAAGAGAACAAAACGAGTGATTTTAGCTCAACACGATTGCCTCCGTCTTAGCCTAACAGAACACCCGTGTATATTTTTGTTTTAATTTCTCAAAACATTGATAACAAATTAAAACTTTCTACTTTTAAGGCTGAATTTCACTTAAGGCGTTTCATTTGAATCGGTTCAACGGGAACAAAAGACAAAAAAGGGCGATTTTTCAAGCTGAAAAGATAAAATATCCACGCTTTTACAACAATTTAAATATAATAAGATTTTAAAGTGAAATTAGGAAACGCTGACTGAAGTGGATAAAAGAGTCCAGAGCTCAAGATGTGGTGCGGTAGCAGAAGTCAGACCATGTTGGTCTGAGTGTTTGGGCTGTGACTCAGCAGGTCCTGAACCTGGTCAAGAACCCAGACAACGTTTGGTCTCTCCTGTGCATTTGAGACCATTATGGAGCTCAGCAGCACGCGGAGGCCCTCTGAGTACCTGGAAAAAACAAACACCAGGTCAGAAACCGTCATTCTATGTTTACTTGAGATTTCATTTACTTTTCACACTTTTATTTTAACAATCACCAAAAGAAGCAGCAGCAGAACAGCAGAATCAATTTCCCTCTGGGATTGATAAAGTATTTTTGAATTGGATTGAATTGAACCAGAGAAATCAGGAAAGTTTGAATTCTGACCTGCAGGACGCTGGGATGGTCACCGGGTTCTGGACAGCCAGAGCAACACTGTCCCCTTTCTGAAAGATCAGGTCATATGGTCCCTCTAACATCATCATGCAGTACAGTACACAGCCAAGCGACTGAAGGCACAGGAGCAGATCAGTCAGGAACAATTCCAGCTCACCCAAGATGTCAGTGGTGTAAATTTATATGAAAAAACAACAAAAACAGGGAGGAAGAAGACATGAAGTTCTTACCCAGATATCAGTGCGCTCATCTATAATGCAGTGGCTCTCTACGTTGAAGAGCTCAGGAGCCCTGTAGGAGATGGTGCACCGCTGGGCTGCCCAGTCCTGGACGGTCATGGCTTCTCTGGATCCTCGGACCTGAAACAATTTACTTGCATCAAATCACTCACAGCATGAGCAACATTTAAATCTATTTTCCTGATTTTGAGAGGAATAATTTTTTTGAGAGACAAATAATGTCTAATTTCTGGATATCTGATACTCAGCTGGGTTGTCATCACTAAGAAAAAATAAAATACCACAAAAAATTAAACTACAAAAACTCTCAATGACATATTTAACAAAAAACCCAAACATCACTGGATCTCATGTTTACATGATATTTACTTTGACACATGAAATAGACAAAGAACAAGTGAACTAGGAAAAGCGACAGAAACGAACTTAAAACACAACTAGTTTAATATAAGTTGCTGTTACGCTGCCATCTAGAGGTGAGAAACAAGAACTGTCAGTTAAAAGAATACTCTGGTATTTTCTAACATCTGCACAAGGACCCTACTGTCTGAAATCGCTGTTTTCTTCATTTAAAATCCCCACTTTATTCAATTTTAGCATGCCCAAAAAATTAAGTTAAAACACAATTTAACAACGTTTAGTAAAATTCTAAACTTTCTGGAATAATAAAATTTGTAATTGGTTATTTGATTTGTTATTTTGTTAAAATTTGTTCTCAACTGCTGACAACAGTGAGAAAACAGGTGATGATTTAAATAGTCTGTAGAAACGAATGACCTGTTCCTCTTACCTCAATTCTTGCGCGGTTCATTGAGCCCAGATCCATCAGGAGTGGCCGGTCGTCATCGTCCAGCAGCACATTAGTGGGCTTCAGGTCTCTGTCAGCAATTTATTTTTGTCTTAATTACAAAGTTACACAGTGGGTGAAGAAGTCAATGATCACAGGTGCTCTTCAGAATATTTTAAAATGCAAACTTTACCTGTGGGCGTAGCCTTTATCATGAATGGCCTTCAAACCGGAACAGATTCCACGGAAGATTTTTAAAATCTGTTTTTCAGGCATTAAGCTCCCCTTCTCTCTTAGCTTCTCCAAAACAGACCACAGGGTTCCTTTCTGTTAACAAACATACAAAGGAGTCAGAATGTTCCTTGAGACATCTTCGTCATCAGGCAAACTGCTGTAGCAACTCACTCTGATGTAAGGCAGAAGTAACCAGGCTTCAGTTTTCCCTCCACCTTCAACAAAGCTGTGTGCAACCAGGCTCAAGATGTTGGGATGATTAAACATCTGATGCATTTCCACCTCTGTCTGTGCCTCCTGACGAGCTTGGCGATCATGACATAAGATCTTTTTCAGGGCATAGAAGTGCCCATCCTTTGCCCCCTCAACCAAATCAACAAAGCTGAAGCCGCTGAAGAGAAAGAACAGAAAGATCACATGTTGTGCTCCATTTTAAAAAAGGGGTGAACAAAAATCAATAACATTACCATATACAAGTATGAAATTGTAAATCAGTAGAGAGATCTTGTCAACTTACCCTTCATCTAGTTTCTGGACAAAGTAGTATTTTTTGCTGTCAATGGTGATGGAGCCACGAGAGCACACACACAGGGTCTGTCCCATGTTGACTGGTGCATTGTTTAACCCAACATTTTCAAAAGGGCCTGAAAATGAAATAAAACTATCAGATTGGCGTTCAATGCTGTGCCAAACTGAATTATTGTAATATTTTAAGGTGGTTTCTGATCCTACGGTCTTTTTAAGAAAGTATCTGTAATTTCTACGGACAATGTTTTTAAAACTTAAAAAAAACTGTCATTGATTTTTTATTTCTGATTTAAAATAACACCAATTCTACTTGACTAGGCGCCCTTCTAGGTTTATAAGATGCTGATAGAGCCACTTATGTATGAGCTGACCCAACCTCCCACCCAAACTTGGACTTCCTGACCAACCGCCCTCAACATGTCCGACTGGATAACCGCTGCTCATCAACAATCACAATGAACACTGGTGTACCACAAGGCTGTGTGATGAGCCCTTTCCTCTACTCCCTTTTCACCCACGACTGCAGACCTGCTGATGGTTCCAACACCATCATTAAGTTTGCAGATGACACCTCGGTGATTGGCCTCATCAGTGACAACGATGAGACCGCCTACAGGGAGGAGGTGGACCGTCTGACTGAGTGGTGCAACACAAACAACCTGCTGCTCAACACTGAGAAGATTAAGGAGCTCATCATGGACTACAGGAGGAATGCTGACCCACATCCACCCATCCACGTTAAGGGGACGGCAGTGGAGCGTGTGAGCAGCTTCAAGTTCCTGGGAGTCCACATCTCCGAGGATCTCACCTGGACTACCAACTGCTCCAAGCTGGTCAAGAAGGCTCACCAGCGCCTCTTCTTCCTGAGGACTCTGAGGAAGAACAACCTGTCCTCAGACATCCTGGTGAACTTCTATCGCGGCACCATCGAGAGCATCCTGACCAACTGTATAACAGTCTGGCATGGGAACTGCTCCGCCTCAGACCGGAAGACATTGCAGAGGGTTGGGAAAACTGCCCAGCACATCGCCGGAGCACCACTTCCTTCCATAAAGGACATCTAAAGGAAGCGGTGTCTGAAAAGGGCTAGGAAAATCATCAGAGACCACAGTCACCCATCACATGCACTGATCACCCTGCTGCCCTCTGGGAGGCGCTACAGGAGCCTCCGGACTAAGACCACCAGGTACCGGAACAGTTTCTTCCCAAAAGCTGTCAGACTCTCGAACTCTGCCTCCTGACATATGACCCACGTTAAACTCATGGACTGACTGTATTAACTACAGCCTGTACATACTTATAGTCATAGAATATTCATAACATACTTCATACCGTGTACATTATAACATACGTAATAGATCCATTTCTGTAATATACTTACACATCTATATTATTGCTAACATATATTGTAATACATCTATATCATGACTAAAGCACTTTCTGGATGGATGCAAACTGCATTTCGTTGCCCTGTACCTGTACATGTGCAATGACAATAAAGTTGAATTCTATTCTATTCTATTCTAAACAGGTAATCGGAGTCACCGACAAACAGGCTCAACGAGTGAAACCTGAGGCCATTACTTCTACACGAGCGTTTCAGTTGTTTGGCAATTTACTTTGGTTACTCTAATTTCAAATGACCCATTTTCTGTCCAGGATGTGTTTTTTAAATATTGTCCCTTGTTCTCGACATGCAGGTAGACAGGTGAGTCCTGACCTTTCATTCCTTGTACCATAATGTGTTTGTGAGGTGGGTGTCAAGTGTCTCCTATAGTAAAGATCTGTGATGCTCTTGTGCTCCGCTCAACCTGTTAGGGATGTTTTCTCCAAAACACTTCCTGCCTAAAACAAATTGATAATTTCATACATAAATGCATTCGAGGAAACGTCAATACACGCGACTGCTAAGCGAAGCACTTGTGGAAAGATAAAGTTAGACAAACAAATTTTGTTTGATGTTTGTCTGCATTAACCCCTGACACGTTTAGCTAAAAACATGAAAAATGCAGCAACGCTGGCTAACACACATCCACTATTTTCTACAAACTAAATACACTTACGGTACAAAAAACCCCGACTTTAACATTAATTTCAATTTTGTATCTTTGTAATTTTAACCGATTCCCAAACACAAGCGGTAATAAACAATAACTCTGTTTTGATGGCTCAAGAGAAATCCTACCATTCCCCCAAGTTAGCTTGGTGACGTTTTGTTTCTTCTTCTTCTTCGTTGTTTTCTTCTTCTTCTTCTCTTTCTTCTGCAGCTTACTGGGCCCACAGCGCCCTGAACGAGATCAGCGGCACTGCCACTAAGGTACCGGACAAAACGTTTGCATGATGGCGGATCGCAAGCCCAACAGGAGAAGTTTCTCCGACGACGGAGGTGATACTTGTGCAGTTTAAACGGCTTAATCAGAAACATAATGTGGTTTCCAATTTCCTTACCTATGTGTTAAAGATGCCCCAGTCTTTTAACACGAGACGCTCGTTGAACTTGGTGTTAGCCGCTGCTGGCTAATGCAAGTGACATTACGTGGTATAAACGCTACCTATGCAGTTGTAAGCTAAAGTGTTATGCTTTAAACATTAACCACGTTACAAATAAAATAGCCTATTCTTTTTTGTAGTTTCTTAAACATTTATTAGTCTCTTGACGGATTGCTTACCTGCTAGCTAATGAGCAAATAGCTAACCTAAGCTAGTTAGCAGGTCTTACAGCGATGTTTGGACACCAATAGTTAATGGTCCTCAAACTTTTTGTTCTGCCACTCCTTTCGTTGGAGGAAGAACAATCTCCCTAGGAATCTAGACCATCAGTCTGCCGACGCGAAATACTATATATTCACATATGGGCAACAATCTCCTGACGTCCCGCTTTAATAAGACTATAATACGCGAGCTTTCACTTTTAAGTGAGGAAACAAACATACATGGTGCAATACCTATGTTTTCATGTGTATTTTGAAATGTCTGCTACTAGTTTCTGTTTTAAAAAAAAGAACAAATACTAAATTAGTCGTCCAAACTGGTTTAAAAAAACATTAAGTTAAAAACGCATCTTTGCTAATGTAACAAATGATTAACATAAATAGAACATTTTTTATAAGAAACAAGTTTAGTCAGTACAAAGCACTTAACTGATGTAAGTTAATTAGAGGCTATCACTGTCTGAACAGCTGGCATGATTCTGTTTTAGTTTGACATATTTTTAAATGAACACTCTTAAGTGCAGTTGCAGGCATTTGCAAGAAATGTTCAGGCCCTTTATTACTGAAAGCTCAAGTCTCATCATTTCACTTCTGACAGCAGTTTATTTCTCACCAAGACTAGAATTGTCACACTTTCTCCAAAGAAAAGTAATCTGGTTACTACTTATTTTTTTCATAGTATTTTATTTTAACAGTTGATCAGTGGCCTTCATACATTTCTCCAAAGTAGCAAGGCAGATGGTAGAAGGCAGTTGTTTATCTTTTGATTTGTCGATGACTTGCCGTTCAGGTAAAATAACAAGTCTTAACACTCCCCACTTCCCAGAAAGCAGTTGTTCACCTCGATGAGTTGTCTTGCCTCAAGCAGGGCCGCAGGAGGAGGGCGACAGAGTGAAAACTAAGCCTGTCTCTTGTAGCACTATGAGAGGAGAGGGTGCCACTGTCAAACGTACATCTCAGCATCTCACCTCTGAAGATGAAGACTCGTCTTCAGCAGACCAGCCAGCACCTTCCAAAGCCTCCAAAATTGGGTTTAGCATGAGCAACAAGATGGCGCAGAAATCGAACCCCATAACAATCAAACTAGGCGCATCAGTGAGTGTTTATCATTTAGCACAACAGAAATTTGTGTTGCTGCATTATTGGATGATTGGATATTGATTTGTTTCTTTTCTGTCGTTGATCTCTTCTAGAAACCCAAAGAGCCTGCACCATCAGCTCCACCCAAAAAGTCAGGGCTGGCTTCTGTTTTTAACGAAGATGACGATGTAAGTTTACAGTTGTGTCATACAGAAAACTACAGATGAGCAGGAACTGACTTTATCCTTCTGTTGCTACAGAGTGAACCAGAGGAGATGCCTCCAGAAGCAAAGATGAGGATGAAGAACATTGGCAGGTACAGAAACGACTCTGTGCTTTAATGAAAGCTAATTTTAGCCTTTTTAAAGTGGTTCATCTCACTTTTGCTGTATTTTTTTTCAGGGAGACACCAACATCTGCAGGACCTAATTCCTTCAACAAAGGGAAACAGGGCTTCTCTGATAATCAAAAACTTTGGGAGAGGAAGATAAAGGCCCAAGGTGAAAAACAATAAATCACTACCACCAATGGAGGATTTTGTACAGCTTGTTATCTACAAAGGCTCAAAAGCTTCTTTGGTGTAGCTTTTTTAATGATCAGTTTTGTGAACATGCAATGAAAAAAGACGATGTCTATGGTTGTTTCTGAACTTCCATTTAAGTTTGGAACCATCTCATGCTGATCCTGAGGGGAAACGAGCTGTAGAGAAGAAACACGATTGTCAGAATATCATTTTAAAAATTCTCATTTGCTACAGGACTTTTCATGTTTTCTTTGTTTAAGCCGGTGAAGCTTAGTCCTCAGCAAGTACTTTTTTCTTGTCTCATATTTGTGTAAAAAATGTACATAGTTTTATTTTGAATTCCATAAACTGGGTTGTGACTTCGAGTGTTGTGTAGCAGCGTGTGTGAGTTTTTTTGAAAGCAAATGTAATTTTCCCTCACATTAAACTTCTTAACATCAGTTTATGTTTTGGTTTCATCAGGTTAGCCTCATTGCACGTGTGAAACTTCTCTTCTGTTTAATCTCCTTCACCCTACACGGTGGGGTTAATATGGCTTCTGACTGTTTTATTTTCCTTCCATGGCTCTTTCTGTCTCATTCAACTTGACAGACATCTAGTATGAAAGCAATTCAATTAAGTCTTATCAATCAATCTGCTTAAAATCCCGAGTCCGACTGGATACGGACACCTCTGTAACCATTAACTTCTACATGTTTTTTTCCCCTGCGCAATTCCTGACTCTTCCAAATTCAACATATTTGGAATCTTTTTATATTTTTATTTTTGTTCTTGTGAATGCCTCCTGATTTTTATCTTGAGAGGCGCTATAGATTGTTTCTTCTTGAATTGTAATATATTTGTCATTAGGTAAGTTATATGGTCACAATTTAGTGCAAGTCCTTCCCTTTCAGCTAAAACCACACACCACCCATTACCCTGTTCCTGAAACTTAACTCAAAATGTAAACCTTTGAGTTTTCCAGTGTTATACCTTGTGCAGACTCCAATAAAGCAAACATACAGTACATGCACTTCTATGGTGAAATGTCTAATGCTGGCATGTATGAAAAACGCCTCATTGACATATAGTTTGTGTTTACAGCTTCTGTTTGTGTATTTAAGTAATGCTTTAGGGTTGAAGGGAGAAACCGAGATGAGTAGAGATGGAAATTGAGTCACTGTCTTCCCACATTTTAGAGTTCAACACATTGTAACCGTTTCTCTGACAAGATGGAAACTTCCTTCACTGCTTTTTTCCGTCAGGCTTTGCTTTTGCAGCGAGCCCATTTCCATTCAGTTTTGCTTTTGTGTTTAAAACCGGCATCTGTTAATGGGAAAAAAAGTGTTTTTAATAAGAACTGCATTTATGTCCAACTGGCCTCGCTTAGTCTTTAGGTAGTATTCTCCTCAAAGAAGTCCAGAATCTGCTAGTGTCTGCCGAAGATGTGTCTGAGCACCAGTCCAGACTGGGCAGCACCTTTAATGCCCTTTGGACCAGTTTAGGCAGTGGGAGGTCTGGGTGGATGTGGGATGCTGAAGCTCCATTGGTCCATACCAACAGGAGTTTGAGGGCGGAGTCTTGCAGTAAAGCCTGAAGACGTTAGAAATTAGTATTAGAGTTAATATATTTACAATATCAAGAAGATTAAGTAGCCATAACTGGTAATATTTCATGTGGCATCGTTCCTGTTTCCACATATGCTCTGGTTTCAGTTTGGGTCAATAAAGCAACTCAATGAAACCAAACGTTTGTTATTCTTGCAGGGTGTGATTTGCTTGGAACTCCAGTCCAGAGACATTTCTACATAACGCATAAAACGGTTCAGATCTGCTAATTGGGTGGAAAACAGAAGAGTCCAAAGTAAAAACGAGGCATGGCCTGAATTATGAGTGGCATTTTCAGGTCTAAATAAGATGATAGACATTTCAAAATATAATGATTAATAGAAAAATATAGAAACCTATAAGAGATCGTTTAAAAATTTTCTTTATTTTTATTTTATTCTTTACTCGAAAGTTGAGAAACCATTGAAATGTATGGTTCAGTCTAAAATCACACTTCTATAGAATTAGAAAATCCTGTTGAGTTCCAACATGGACCAGAAAAGATTTATTTTCTGTAATTGGACAATTCATCTGCTCCTTGAACAGATTTTTTAATTTGTAATAAATATTAAGGTTTACCGACTCGTCCTCTGTTTAATTCTACACAGATAACTTCCCATAAGGAAGCATGGGGCTGGCTGACCAGGCTAGGAATGTAATCCCAGATAAACTTTTATTCTCCAACATAAATTTATCTAAAGATGTATTAAATACTTTGACCTCGTGAACCTCGCACGGCATTAAAAACCTCATTCTAAATCTTTAGTCTTATTTTCTCTGCATAGAAACCGACCGTCCTCTATGTTAATCTTCCTTACTTTAATTCCTGCGTCGAGCACAAACACCGCGTTACTGTCAGTGAGATAGTCAGCTGACAGGACACAGATGAGCGTCCGGCTCCTTTTTATCATCATAACCACGTCATCCGTATAAGCTACAAAACAAACAAACAAAAAACATTAGCAAGTCCTTTTGGACTTCACACTCTCAAAGATACACTGGTGATCATCTCACCCCCTCCTGGAAGTAGGTCCCTCTCCAGCAGACACAGACGATACCTCCACTGGTCCTCTATTACCTCAGTGAGCATCACCTCTATTGGTCTCTGAGTGGCGTTTGCTTCTGCAGCGCCCAACATCTCCACACTAGATAGACATTCTACCAATAATGGAAACAAGTTGTTTAAAGTATTTTTTTTAAATGATAATGTGCATTTTGGCCTTTACCTTCTGCATCATGGTAAGGTCCTGATATGGTGGAGAAGAATAGATCTCTTTCAACCTCTGAAGATGAGGGTTTCCACACATGTGATAAAAACACGTCAAAGTCTGTGTCCTCTGCTAAGGGAGACGTTTAAAGACAAGTTAGATATGAAAACATCAGTGATATTGATCCAACATGCAGCTATAGTTTCTCACAAACGTGTTACCATGGTTTTTGATCTCAAAGATAAAACGGTTAGACAGCGCTGGGTATTTCAGATGTGGCGCAGAGAGAAAATTAAAGGGCAGCAAAGCACGCTTGTGACATTTTAGTGGTTTATTTTTTTGAACATTAAAGCTAGATCTCAGTCTGGAAACGAGTAAATGCATGCAGGCCTGTTTTAGTGTGCAGTCGGACCTTTTCTGTATGTTCCAAACAGGAAGTGGGATCTGCAGATTAGCTGTACTTCCAACCATTTCACACGCAAGGTGATTCCTAGTCCGGCTACCAGCAGGAAACATGCAATGGGATACCCTAGTAGTGATGGCCATTTCACTGAAAACAACAATTAAGACATTATTTGTCTTTCAGCCAATGTAAGCATTCAGAAATAGCAAAGCAAATGCAGAGAAGAGAAATAAAAGAACACCTTGTTTTTTTTGTTTAAGCCTGGTCGTGACGCTGCTGTTCCCCACAGTGTTGCTGGCGACGCAGGTGTACATGTGGTTCAGGTGGTGTGTTGTCACTTCTTTTATGTTGGCTATCTGTATGACTTTAAATGATCTAAAAGTATCTCTACTCTCCCTAAAAGAGAAATAGAGGTAAAAACACAAAGGTGTTGATGCTTTTCTGTTTGAAGCACCCATACGCATGTCTCTACTCACTGAGGTCTCTCTGTGTGGAGCAAAGTCATATTCTCCATGTTATCTCCCTGACTCATGAACCACTGCACCTTTCGTGAAATGTTCACTTCAAAATCAAAATCTGCCTTACATGTGAGGTTGTGAGGCCGACCTGGAACAGAGGAAGCAGCATCAGATTGATGTACGTGATGTTTGTCAGATGGGTTAGGGTTAGAGTGTTAGTTCTGGTAGTCTCATGCGCTCACCCAGCATGACTTCCTCTATCACATCTGCAAGAGGGTATGTGATCTTTGGAGGAGTTCTAGCTTTAAGATGTGCTGTAAGAGAAAAGTGAGTGATTAGAAAGTTTATTTCTGAATCAGAAAGCAGCTTTGTCATGATAGAGACGTCCAAATTCATAAAAACCAAAAGTGTTCTCATGAATTTGACGGAATTTTATGCTTTTTTTACGTGTCCCATTCTGCATATTTTGTGGAAAATTTTACTAAAACATATTTGAATAGATTTAATCTAACAGTTTCAGCTACATTTGTTTTATTTTGCTCAATGTGTTTATGATGTGTCAAATAGCTTAATTATGACTTTGATGATCTTTCCAATGTGTCAGTTTTATTGTGAAAAACTAACAAAATCATCTTTATCACTTCATAGGGTTGTGGAGAGCTGGTGCCTATCTTCAGCAGTCACCCTGGACAGGTCACCATCGCAGGGACACACAACCGCTTAAACACACTCAGCTCGGGACTATTTAGTCTCTAATCAACCTGGCATGTATGTTTTTTGGAGAACCTGCACAAAACCCATGCATGCATGGAGAGAATGTGCTAACTCCACACAGAATGGCCATTGAGGTGTGATTTGAAGGTGTTGATGCAAAACCAACTGCAGCATTGCATTCCTCTTTAAAGATAAAAGGCGTAGCAAGGCCATATCTTTTCTGTTTGAAGTGGTCTTAGTCCTATTTCTGCTCAGCAGTAGTGGAGTCAGACCTACGTCTGCTCTGTGTTATAAATCACAGGAATTCAGTGATGGAAAACCTGAATGTCTCATTTAGGAAACATATTGGGACAGCAGTAGCTCAGGTGGTAGAGCGGGTTGCCTCATGATCGGAGGGTCAGGGGTTCGATTCCAGCTCCCGCCAGGGGTATCCTGCTGTTGTGTCCTTGGGCAAGACACTTCACCCAACTTGCCTGTGTTAGTAGTAGTCAGAGGGGCCGACGGCGCCAAATGGCAGCCTCGCCTCTGTCAGACCTCCCCAGGGTGGCTGTGACTAGTAGCTTACCATCACTAGCAGTGTGTGAATGTGAGCGTGTGTGAATGTGTCTTTGGGTGTCTAGAAAAGCGCTATATAAGTTCAATGCATTATTATTATTATTATTATTATTATTATTATTATTATTATTATTATTATATTCCCAAAATGTACACCAGAGATGGACCTGTTAGTGGTATTTAGTAAATGTGCTGTATGTGATGTAACTAACTCAGCTGCTTTCCTGTTTACATCAAAGATGGTCTGCCACGGGTATGTGAAGGCTGCAGCACAAACAGCCATCCTCTAGCTGCAGAGGAAACTGGAGGAATTGAGTTTTGCAGAAAGTGTTTGAAAGGTTAAGAAAGAAGGCATTTTGTCCATGTTTCTGAAAAGCAAGTGGAAAATGTTGCTTTCATTGTATTTAATGAAATACAGGGGGGGGGGGGGGGGGTGTGTGTGTGTGTGCTGGTGCCTATCTCCAGCAGTCAACGGGCAATCAGGCGGGGTACACCCTGGACAGAGTGCCAGTCCATCGCAGGGCAACAGAGACACACAGGACACACAATCATGCACACACACTCACACCTAGGGACAATTTAGACAGACCAGTTAACCTAACAGTCATGTTTTTGGACCGTGGGAGGAAGCCAGAGTACCCGGAGAGAACCCACGCATGCATAGGGAGAACATGCAAACTCCATGCAGAAAGATCCCAGGCCGGGAAGCGAACCCAAGACCTTCTTGCTGCAAGGCAACAGCTCTAACCACTGTGCCACTGCACAGCCTTAAATGTTTCCTGCATTTTTAAAACTTTGTATCCAGAAGTATGAATATAACTTTTTTTTTTTTTAACTTAATATTGGCGAGTCTCTCAAGTGTGATACATACATTAGACCAGAACCCTGACCTATAATTAAAAGTATTGGTTGACTTCAGTCAGGTTGACTAACTTTTAAGTAACTGTACAAGTTGTGAATTGTAGAATTAGCTAAACTGAAACTGAACTTCAGAAAACAAAACAAAAGTGTAATTTAGGAGTGAATCAGCTGGTGAGTCACAGACTTGATTTGCTCTTTTATTTATTTTTCTTATCTAACGGGGACGATTCCCGCAAACCTTTCAAAAGCTGGTACACATATCTTTTACAGATTCAAAAGTGTAACAAAGTCTAAAGTGGTCCCGATGTTTGAGGCAACTGAGAAACCAAATCTATCGGAAACACCCTCCAGTTTAGTTAAACTTGAATGATGACAACAGAGTTGTTGACGCTGGTAGTTATGGCACAAACCATAACTCTGCAGACCAAAGGTGAAGCATCTTCAACAATCTCAATCCTAATTTACTAGCACATACAAATAAATCTCACTTACGTATGACTGTGACATTAACAGCTCTCCTGAAACTCCACATGACTCCCTGTTCAATTATTTTTCTGTCACAGAAAAACACAGTGTCATCTTTTACGTCTACTGTGCAGAGTTGTAAGTGCTCCATCTCTTCACACGACTCTCTTCTCTCTTTGGACACAGCTTTGTTTCTCTGGAATGAATCACACACACATCAGTTTCTGCTGAGATCTTAAAACATACATGTTCTACCAAATGACACCTTTTGCATTCAAAAGAAACAAAAATGTATTTGTCTATAATGACTGGGGAGTTAGACGATTGTGAAAGGATTGATCCTGCAGGTGTATGTACTTCACCTTGTACCAAACAATATCTGTGTTATTACTACAGGTGTGGCCGGGGCATTTGATCATCCCACCAGCAAAAGCAAGCAATATTCTGCTGCTCTCGCTAGGTCGATAACATCCTAGACTGGTTTTTTCCATCACTTGCAGAGTTAAGATGGACCTGCAACAAAAAGAAGATTTAATTAGATAGGTAATTAGATATCAAACTGCAATAAAGCCCTTAAGGAAATGACAAAATGTTGTACGCTGCTCAAAACAAAGCAAAAATCTAAAGGAAAACTATTAATAAAGTAATATATAACATCCCATTGTGCAACTCTAATAGATAATATATTTACAAATATAATAGAAGAAAATATAAAAAGTGGGCTGTTAACTGTCAGAACCCAAGCCCCCAAACCGGCCTCTCCCAGCTAACCGGCCTCCATCTTGGACCACATTTCCCAGCATGCTCCTCGCGGGAACTCCCGGCATTCTCCCAGTCACACCCAAGCCTATATATGGAAGACGCCGCACCGGCTCTTCACTCAGTCATCGTTTCATTGAAACCCCTGATCAGAGTTCTCTACCGAATAATCCAGACGTCAAACATCCTTACCGAGTTTAACTCCCGTACCCAGTCGACCATCGTGACAGGATGACTGAGTCCGTAGATCCAGCGGAGTTCGAGCGCATGAAAAGAAAGACGGAGCAAATGGAAAATGAACTCATTCAGCTCCACGCCCTGATCGATCGGCTCCACACCAAACAAAACTCCCAGACCGATCTCATCCTACAATTATCCACAGCCCATGCTTTCGTTCTTTTTTAAACACAGAAACAGTTTTGTTTACCTGTTTGTAGCTACGGTTTCGCCGACAGCTGCCGGCTTCTTCAGGCTGACGCTGATGGTGGCGCGTCACTTCCTTCTCTGTTTATCTGCGGGCAGCAGAGGACGTTGTCGCCCTCTACTGCCCGCTCTCCCCTCTCCGATGATGCAGTCCCATGCGTGGTCCAGCGTGTAAACTCCGTCGTCCCTGTTCATGGTCCCACATCCACGTCTCCTTATCTCTATTGCTTCCTTGATCCAGCGGGAGAGCGGGCAGTAGAGGGCGACAACGTCCTCTGCTGCCCGCAAATAAACGGAGAAGGAAGTGACGCGCCACCATCAGCGTCAGCCTGAAGAAGCCGGCAGCTGTCGGCGAAACCGTAGCTACAAACAGGTAAACAAAACTGTTTCTGTGTTTAAAAAAGAACGAAAGCATGGATTTACAAAGACACAGCAAGAACACACCTAAGATATCCACAGCCCTCCATGCTCTCCAGCAGCAAGCCCTCGCTCCACCAACAGAGGGGCTGCACTTTAGTCTCCCAGAGAGGTGGAACGGAGAGACGGGGAGCCCAGACGGTCTACTCGCCACCCTCGACATGCAGTTTGAGTGCCAGCCAGGGCGCTTCCCCACTGCGCGCTCTCGGGTGGCGCATCTCACCTCCCTGCTCTCCGGACGCGCGGCTGAGTGGGCCGCTGCGCTTTATAATTCCAAATCACCGGCTTGCAATGACTATGCTGCTTTTGTGTCCGCCCTCAGAAAGACTTTTGTTCCACCCAGCAGCGAAGTGGGAGCAGAAACACAACTCCTAAAGCTCCGCCAGCGGGAGCGCACGGTGTGCGCTTATGCGTCGGAGTTCCGCACCATCTCCGCCAAGCTGCGGTGGGATGACTCTGCCCTCCGAGCCGTCTTCTTGGAGGGACTGGCGACCTACATCCGTGATGAGATGGCGGGAAAGGAACTGCCCCAGACCCTGGATGAAGTGGTCGATTTGGCGCTGCGCATGGATCAGCGGGTTCTGGTTCGGCCCAAGCCCTTCACTCGCCCATCCAGGGCACCTGGCCCTCTTCCTCGTTCCCCCACGCCTGCTCCCGGACCCGCTTCTACTGATGAGCCCATGCAATTAGGCCACCTTCCTCCAGAGGAGAGACAGCGACGGTGGCGCGAGGGTCTCTGTGCCTATTGTGGCTCCTCCCACCACAGACGCCTGAACTGTCCATTACGTTTGGAAAACGAAGGAACCCACTGAGTATCGGGGTCGCTCAGCCTGGGTCACCTTCAGCCCCCGCCTCTTCAAATTGACTCCTTCTTCATGTTACCCTCCTTCATGGTGAGACCTCACTTCAGATGCACGCGCTGTTGGACTCGGGGGCCGCTGACAATTTTATGGACATGGATCTGGCTAAGCGCCTACGGATCCCCATGACCCCCTTGGAGAGAGTTGTGCCTGTGACCTCGGTGGACGGTAGGCCCCTCCAACCCTATCCGATCCAAAACCGAACCCAGCCACTCCAGATGATTGTCCAAGGCCACCGAGAGACCCTCCAGTTCCTGATCATATGTGCTCCCTCCTCTCCTCTAATCCTGGGATTTCCCTGGCTCCGTCTCCACGACCCCCGGATTTCCTGGTCCCAGGGCCGCATTTTGGAATGGGGGACCCAGTGCCAGGCCCACCTCTCTCCTCCTACATCCATGCCAGACCACCCGGACGGTGACACTGGCCAAACACCGCCCAATCTGCCACTGCCCTACCGGGACCTGGCTGCGGTGTTCGACAAGCGGCGCGCCACCACACTGCCGCCTCACCGCCCGTACGACATGGAAATCAAGCTGCAACCAGGAACCAGTCCACCCCGGGGGCGCCTTTTTTCTCTCTCTCCCGCCGAGTCCAGAGCCATGGAGGAATATATTGACCAGGCCCTCCAGCAGGGTTTCATTCGACCTTCCTCCTCCCCGGGTGCCGCAGGCTTCTTCTTTGTCAGGAAAAAGGAGGGTGATCTCCGCCCCTGTATCGATTACCGAGGTCTGAACAAAATCACAGTCAAAGACCGTCATCCTCTGCCGCTCCTCACATCTGCCCTGGACGCCATCTCCCAGGCGCGGATCTTCACCAAGCTGGACCTCCGGAGCGCCTACAATCTGGTCCGTATTAAAGCTGGAGATGAGTGGAAGACCGCTTTCATCACACCCACCGGTCACTGGGAGTACCAGGTCATGCCCTTCGGGCTGTGCAATAGCCCCGCCGTTTTTCAACGCCTCATAAACGATGTCCTCCGCGACATGTTGGGACGGTGGGTGTTTGCCTACCTGGATGACATCCTGATCTACTCCAAGTCCGAGGCCGAACACCTCCACCATGTTCGCGCTGTTCTAACCCGGCTCCTGGACAATAACCTGTTCTGTAAGCCCGAGAAGTGCTCCTTCCACCAGCGGTCCGTATCATTCCTGGGCTACATGATTTCAGATAAAGGACTAACCATGGACCCTCAGAAAGTCCAGGCGGTGAGAGACTGGCCCCTCCCGACGAGCCTGAAACAACTGCAGAGTTTTCTGGGTTTCTGCAACTTTTACCGCCGTTTTATTAAGGACGTTAGCACCATTGTGGCACCTCTCACCCGATCAAGCCCTCCGAGCCAACCGTTCCGGCTGACTCCAGACGCCGTTTGGGCCTTCCAACACCTAGTCGCCCGTTTCACGTCGGCTCCTATCCTCCGCCATCCGGATCATGCAGTCCCCTTTGTGGTCGAGGTCGACGCCTCGGATGTTGGCGCCGGTGCCATCTTGTCCCAAGCCGGGCCCGACGACAGGCTTCATCCCTGCGCCTACTTCTCCAGGAAGTTTTCCACCACCCAGCAGAAGTACGGCGTAGGGGATCGCGAGCTGCTGGCCATAAAGTGGGCATTGGAGGAATGGAGGCAGTGGCTACTGGGCACCACTCAGCCGTTCACCATCTGGACGGACCACCAGAACCTGACCCACATCAGATCAGCCAAGCAGCTCAATCCTCGCCAGGCCCGCTGGGCCCTCTTCTTTGAGCCCTATGAATTCCATCTCGCCTACCGCCCAGGGACAAAGAACCAGAAGGCGGACGCCCTTTCCCGCCAGTTCACACATCCAACGCCCACGTCCGAGCCGGCACCTATCCTCCCCGAGCACCGTTTCTTGGCCCACCTGAGGTGGCCACTGGAGAAGGCTATCCAAAACGCCCTCCGAGACGATCCAGCACCTCCAGAGACCCCCGCGGGTCGGCTCTACGTCCCCACGGCCTGTCGCAGCGAGGCATTGTCCTGGGCCCACTCATCACGCCTGTCTGGCCACGCGGGCTTTTCACGGACTCTTAGGTTCCTCAAACGAGCTCTCTGGTGGCCACGTATGGAGAGAGATGTAAAGGACTATACGAGTGCCTGTGACGTCTGCGCCCGCTCCAAGACATCCAACCAGGCCTCGGTTGGTACCCTCAGACCTCTTCCGGTACCCAGCCGCCCCTGGTCCCATGTGGGGTTGGACTTCGTCACAGGGCTCCCACCAGTCAACGACCTTAATACCATCATGACGGTCACTGACCGGTTTTCTAAGGCTGTTCACTTCATCGCCCTTCCGGGCCTCCCCTCGGCCCGACGCACAGCTGAGTTGTTCCTGGAGAATGTGGTGCGTCTCCATGGATTTCCTGTCGACGTGGTCTCGGATTGTGGTCCCCAGTTCACGGCCCGGTTCTGGAGGGCTTTTTGTCATCTGTTGGGAGCATCAGTCAGCCTATCTTCGGGCTATCACCCGCAGACCAACGGCCAAACGGAGCGGGCAAACCAACAACTGGGTCGGTACCTCCGCTGCTTTGTCTCGGCCCAACCCTCGCAGTGGCCTAAGTACCTCCTCTGGGCTGAGTTATCCCACAATCTCCACACCTCCTCAGCCACTCTGATGTCCCCGTTCGAAGTCTGCTATGGCTATCAGCCCCCGGTCTTTGCCCACCAGGAACCCGAAGTTGCGGTGCCGGCCGCTCAATCCCTGGTGAGGCGCTGCAGGAACGCCTGGATAAAGGCGCGGGCCTCCATAACCCGAGCTAACGCCCGTTACTCTCACCAACACCTCCGCCGACACCGTCCTGGTCCCTCATATGCTCCAGGGGATAAGGTCTGGGTGTCCACGGCAGACCTCCGTGTCCGTGCCGGCTCCAGGAAGCTCGCTCCCCGGTTCCTTGGGCCTTACCCCGTGCAAAGGGTCATCAACCCGGTCACATACCGGCTGCGGCTGCCTGCGAGTCTCCGCATCCATCCCACCTTCCATATCTCCCGGCTCAAGCCCTACGTGGAATCCTCCCTCCTTCCGCCTCCGGCTCCGGCGCCTCCGCCTG